CCAGTGTCTCCCCCATCTCCAGTCCCCTCCGCAGCCTGCACTGGCCCCGCTCCAGGTGCTCCATGTCCCTGCTGTGCTGAGGAGCCAGAGCTGGACCCTGCACCCCAGCTGTGCCTGACAGGGCCAAGCAACGGGCAGGGTGCCCTCCCTGTCCCCACAGCAGCCCAAAGCCCAGACCCACACAGTGTTTGGGGTCCTGGCAGTGTTTGGGGTCCCATCAGTTTTTATTTGGGGTCCCAGCAGTGTTTCTTTGGGATCTCTGGGCCCAAGAGTGTTTGTTTGAGGTCCCTGAGCTCAGGGGTATTTATTAGGGGTCTCTGGAGTCAGTGTTTATTTGGGGTCCCAGCAGTGTTTATTCGGTGTCTCTGGGGTTGATGTTTTTTCAGCATCACAGCAGTGATTTTGGGATCACAGTGGTGTTTTTTGGGATCACAGTGGTGTTTTTGGGATCACAGTGGTGTTTTTGGGATCACAGCGGTGTTTTTGGGATTGCAGCGGTGTTTTTGGGATCGCAGTGGTGTTTTTTGGGATCACAGCAGTGTTTCTTTGGCATCACAGCAGTGTTTTGGGGATCACAGTGGTGTTTTTTGGGATCACAGTGGAGTTTCTTTGGCGTCACAGCAGTGTTTTGGGGATCACAGTGATGTTTCTTGGGATCACAGCAGTGTTTATTTGGGATCACAGTGGTATTTATTTGGGATCCCAGCAGTATTTTGGGGATCCTAGCAGTGTTTTTGGGATCACAGTGGTGGTTATTTGGGATCCCAGTAGTGTTTTGGGAATCCCATCGGTGTTTATTTGGGATCCCAGCGCTGTTTTGGGATCACAGTAGTGTTTATTTGGGATCCCAGCGCTGTTTTGGGATCACAGTAGTGTTTATTTGGGATCCCAGCGCTGTTTTGGGATCCCAGCGCTGTTTTGGGATCACAGCAGTGTTTATTTGGGATCCCAACGGTGTTTATTTGGGATCCCAACGGTGTTTATTTGGGATCCCAGCGCTGTTTTGGGATCACAGCAGTGTTTATTTGGGATCCCAACGGTGTTTATTTGGGATCCCAGCGCTGTTTTGGGATCACAGCAGTGTTTATTTGGGATCCCAACGGTGTTTTTGGGATCCCAGCGCTGTTTTGGGATCACAGCAGTGTTTATTTGGGATCCCAACGGTGTTTATTTGGGATCCCAACGGTGTTTTTGGGATCCCAGCGCTGTTTTGGGATCCCAGCAGTGTTTATTTGGGATCCCAGCGCTGTTTTGGGATCACAGCAGTGTTTATTTGGGATCCCAACGGTGTTTTTGGGATCCCAGCGCTGTTTTGGGATCCCAGCAGTGTTTATTTGGGACCCCAGTGTTGTTTTTGGGACCCCAGTGTTGTTTTGGGGCCCCCAGCGCTGTTTATCCGGGCCCCCAGCGACGCTCCCCGGTCCCCCTCAGGGTCGCGGCTCACGCCCGCCCCGCCAATGGGGGTCGCGGCGCGCAGGCGGCTCGAGCCCGATGGCGAATGGCGTGGGCCGGGCGAGGCGCGCAGCGCGGCGCCGATGTGCGCGGGTGCCATGCGCTGTGGCGGGGGCTGCGCGCTGCGCCCGCGCCCTCGGCCTGGTCTCCCTGCCTATGCGCGCTGCTTGCTGCCTGGTCCACTGACGGATTACGTCTGCGAGCTCATGCCTCGGTGATGCGCCCGGGCGCGGGGAGAGGGGCCCGCCCCGCCCCTGGGCCCGCCCCAAGCCCGGTCGGGGCCCTGCGGGGCTTTTCGCCGCGCCGGGGCTGCGGGCGATCGCCCCCCCCGCCCTCCCTCACTCCTCCTCCTCATCCTACTCCTCCTCATTATCCTTCCCCCTCCCCTCCCTCCTCATCCTCCTTATCATCATGCTCCTGTTCCCCATTCTTCTCTTCTTCTTCCTCCTCCTCCTCCTCATCTTTCTCCTTCTTCCTTTTCCTCCTCTTCCTCTCCCTGCTCCTCTTCCTTTTCCTCCTCTTCCTCTCCCTGCTCCTCATCCTTCTCCTTCTCCTCTTCCTCCTCTTCACCTCCTCTTCTTTCTCCTCCTTCTTCTCCTTCTTCTCGTCCTTCTCCTCCGCCTCGTCGCCTCTCGCCGGTGTGTCCCGGTGTTCCGTGGGTGTCCCGGTGTTCCCGGTGTGTCCCGGTGTTCCGTGGGTGATCCAGTGTTCCCGGTGTGTCCCGGTGTTCCGTGGGTGTCCCGGTGTTCCCGGTGTGCCCGGTGTTCCCGGTGTGTCCCGGTGTTCCCGGTGTGTCCAGGTGTTCCCCGTGTGTCCCGGTGTTCCGTGGGTGTCCCGGTGTTCCCGGTGTGCCCGGTGTTCCCGGTGTGTCCCGGTGTTCCGTGGGTGTCCAGGTGTTCCCGGTGTGTCCAGGTGTTCCCGGTGTGTCCCGGTGTTCCCGGTGTGTCCAGGTGTTCCCGGTGTCCCGGCTCCTGTCCCGTCTGGAACACCCCCGGGCAGAGCAGGATCACAGGGATAACTCTCCATTCCGGGATGAGTTCCTGGGGTTCAGGCTGTTCCCGGGGTTTGCCCCGGCCGGGGCTGGGCTGGGACTCAGCCCCTGTTTTGTGTGTCCGTGCCAGGGAGGTGCCGGTGGGGAGGGTTGGGACAGTGACCCCACAGTGAAGGGCCGGATTGTTGCCGTATGACAACGTTCAGATGTGATTTATGAGCTAAACAGTAACAAAAATCAGTCTATGCTCTGCCTTGAGGTAGATATATATACATATATAAACATATAAATATACATAAACTCATTTTTAATATATATATTCTGCACAGGGAAGAAAAAGGTTACATGAAATCACACTGAAGTTGTTACAGTAGCATGGAAATGCTACATTTTAGAAAGGAAAGGTTTTGTACTGGCTAGAATTGTATATTTAATGTAGCAATTTAATTGGATAGTAAGTTGCAAATGTTTTGTATGCATGCAAAAATCTGTTAGTAGGAGAAAGGATTGTTAGTTCTGGGGGAGAGGAGAGGTGGGAGCTTGGACTTCTGAAGTTGTGAGGAGGAACATGAGGCTCTTTCTCCTCGGGACAGGGAAAAGGCAGCCCAAGGTCCCAGAAGGGTGGTTTGGGATGTTCCTGGGACAGGAGCTGCCTTCTGGTGCTGCACATGGAAATCAGGTTTTTGGTAGGGTTGGCAGTGTTTTTTCTCAATGGGCACTAAATTGAAATGCAGTTTCTTTGGTCTGTTTTAATTGGCAGCTTGGCAAAGCCTCAAACATGGCTCTTCATTGCTCTCATCCCCTCTCTGGGACTGTGGGCTGTTTCTTTCAAGAATTCACACAGAACAATATCTCCAAGTTGCAAGGAACTGTCATTACATGTGACCAAAAATTAGAGTATTTTCTTGAACTGTGCTTTGTTGGCAGTGCTGTACAGGTTCAGTAAAGTTGAACACTGGCTTGTTCCAGGTCCCAGTGCAGCTTTTAGAAGAGACTCAGGTGATTTTGCTGGGATGTGGATTGGGACTATGTTGCTCTGCAAGTGCTGGTTCAGCTGTCAGGAGCTCAGCTCACTGCCTGGAATTATGGCTGAAAATCATTCATTTGCCCACACCCGCCTATTTTTTCGCCCCATCTTTCTCTCCCATCTCTTTCATTTGCATGTGGAGGAGGTTTATCTACACAGGAGTTGGAATGACTAAATTATTTCAGGATTTGAGCATTAACTGTTGGCATGTGCTGGTACTTGCAAAGCAGCTCTCAGGACGTTCTCCACATTTCTAACACAGCAAGGCTTTCTGTGCTGGCTGCTTCTCAGCTGTTGTGAGCATGCAAATAGTAGATGCTTTGTTTGGATTCTTGGTTTTCACCCTCAGTTGTGCTCAGGACTGGGAGTGGTGAGGGGGGATGTCCTGGAGCCACCTCATGATACTGGGTTTAAACTCTCACTGACTGGTGTGACCAGTGAGTCACAGTCCTGAGGAGGCCCTGATTTCTTGTCTGGTTGGTGGTTGCTGCCACAGAGAGAACAATGATCCTGCAATAAAACCTTTTACACAACCTTTATTTGTGCTCTTTTCTCAAGTAAAACCCTTATCAAGGCCCTGCTGCAAATGTGACACACTTCAGGAAGGAGCAAGCATTTGTGAAAAGCTGATGTCTTCATAGCTTGATTGGCAGCAAACTAAAGCTAAAAATAAAGGTTCCCTCGCAATCTTGCTCACCTGAAAATGAGTGTGCAGAGACACAGCAAATATTCAGTCTCTTTTTTCACCCACGTTGCTGTGTGTCACAGAACTTTGTCTTCCAAGCAAATATCACAGAACCACTATGCTTTCAGTTAAAGAGAGATGTCTTTGTGTCTTCTGTGAAACTTGGATGGTGGCTTTTAAAATAATAGATGGATTTTAAAGTAATCAGCACAAGTAGTCATTGATGTACCCTTTGCTGGTTGGTCAAGGTGGCTCTGTTGGTGTAGGGATCGTTCTGTCATTACGGTGAAGTAAGGAGGGGTTGTAAAATCTCTACTTGTAGGAGGTGTAAAAGTAATGGAGTCATTGCAATTGCTGACTAGGCCAAAGCTGAGAAATGGTTAATTTTTTATTCATGCTGATGCAGAAATGCTTTGGACAGTGCTTATGGGAGGGGGTCAAGACCACCAAGAGACTGGTAGAAAGGAGCTGCAGGTATGTGGTACATGCACAGAGATGCTGCTTGGACAGTTGCTGTAGGAGCCCTGGTAATCTTGTCACATCACTGTCACCAGAGGATTGGTTTTGTCATTTCTGATGTACAGAATATGCAGAATATTTTTTATAAATGGGAAAATACAGCATAAGTAACAGTTACTGAACATCTTGTTGTGGGGGTGTGTGTGAGTGAAGAAGAGTTGTTACGGATGCTTTGGATTTGATGCTGGACTGTGGGCTCTCCTTTTGCCTCTTGAATGTGAACATTTTTTCCTAAAATGGCTGTATTTCACATAGGAATGTCATTTGTAACAAACTTTTCTGGGATTCCTATTTGCTCTGTAGACATATCTTTTTTTCTTTTTCAGTGACTGTGAGCAACCCTGTGGAGAAAGGTATGTGTGTTCAGTTTACTGTTTGACACTCAATCCTGGTGTAAAAGGATTCACAAATGTTCCGGCTGAAATATCAAAAATATTTACTGTCAATCTTTGAAATGTACATCCTCTTTCAGTGTTTCCTTCCTGTAATTATGTTCCTGGGGTGCACAGCAAGCGTTGTTAGACATGCTGTAGCTTTTGGATGCATTGGGAAGTGCCCTGTTTACTCACAGCATAAGAAAACATGGGAAGGCTTTAATCCCTCTGACTCTTTCAGGAAAAGGTGTGCCTGTCTGTGCACACCCACACATCTCCCTTTCTCTTTCACATTTTCAGAGCTCATTTTACAAGCCAAATAGAAAAGACTAGTTCTGTTCTGTGGCCCACCTATTTTTCCCCCGTTTCCTTTGATCTTTCAGAGAAAGCTATTTTTAATGGGGTTTGGAGGCAGGCACAGATTTTTTCTTGTTTCTGTTCCCCACTAACCAGCTCTGCAGTAGGATCACTCCATGAGACTCTTTCCACTGGTGTGTTGTTGGAGGCCACGATCATATTCTAAGGATAAGGAGCCAGTGGCCATTTTAGTATTCCTCCTCTTCTTCCTGGAGGTGCTTTGGAGGCTTTTGGCTAATCCAGGTGGCCTCTTTGTTTCATTTTCCGGGGTTATGAAGGATAGAAGTAGGTGGAGTCATCGGGGAAGTTGTTCCATGAAGAGCAATGCCAGGTGATAGTTAAAGATCCTCCAGACCACTGCATCAAGTCCATTCTCTTTCCACTACAAAGCAGTCCTAATATTTGAAATTGCTACAGAGAAACTCTGGAAAGCAGGATATTAATGATTATTCAACACTAGAAAGTTAGTAGTTGCCCAATCCATTAGTGCATCTCTGGGTCAGCTTCCTCTAATGAGCTGCTTGATCAACTAAAACTAAACCTGTTGCAAGATTTATCTCTTTTCATACTAATTAAAAAGTGGCTGAACTCGACCTGCACCGTAGTATGAGGATAACATCTCAAACAAGCTGGAAGCATAAGAATGGCTTTGATTCACAGCTCCTTCACACAGTCCATCACATCCTTGTGAGGTGTATCCCATCATTTGCCATCTCATTAGAGTCTCAGTGATGCATTTGGCCTTTTTTACCAGTTTTCACACAGGAAAGACAGTGTTTTCACAGAGTTAGGAAGTGTGTGGACTTTAGACTTCTCTTTCCACTAGTAGTATTTATTTTAATCTTAGTTTCTAGAATTTGAAGCTTAAAAGAAATGAGGGAAATGAGGGTTTTATTGCAATTAAACGCTATGTTCAAATAAAACTGTATTGTAACTGTTTGATAATGTCTTAGTGAGTTAAGTGTTAAATAACAGCTAGCTTGTGTAGCTTAAGAACTGCTGCTCTTTGGCTCCCTGATCATGGAATGCCTGCTTATGCCCAAGGGCTCTGGAATAAAGTTGGCATGTTGAGATAAGACTACTCTGACATGGGCTGGTTTCACATGTATCCAGTGGATTACAATTCTTCAGTACTCACAAGACCTGTTTTGCTCACTTTGAGAGAAGTTTTCCTGATTTATTGTATCAGCTGTGGCAAATGTGAAAGAGATTGGATGTTTTCTAGTGATGTAAAGCTCCTGTTCCTCTCTCAGCTCTGCCAGGAAGGCAGCAGGGGTGGGCAGTGCACTGGCAATATGGATCTGTGCTCTGACTGCATTTAGCAGCAACTGAGCCCCAAAACTGGGAGGTGCTGCAGGATTGCAGTATTAACCTGTGTGCTGCTCAGCACCAGCCAGTTCTGCTGGGCCTGTGCCTGGGATGTGGGGAAGAGAGGAATCCTGGCATTCCCAGGGATATGGGGTGGGCACCTGCCCTGGGAGGGAAGTCTCTCAGAGCTGTATCTTCCTCCCCCACGGAATGGGGTCTGGGGAGGAGGGAGGCTTGTGAGCTCAGTCCCCCCTGGGCGCAGCCCCTGAGCTCTGGAATGCTGCTGGGAGGTTTGGCTGGACTGTAAGAATGGGGAATTATGCCCCTCCTAAATGAAACTTTTGCTTAAGAAGTCATTGCTCTCTTTCTGTTTTTTCTGTTTGTTCTGTTTTTAGTGGCCTATCTTGTAATATTCCATATTCTCTTCGTGCTCTTTGTGTGGACATATTGGAAGTCTGTTTTCACTCTCCCAGTGCAGCCAGACAAAAAGGTAAGAGCCCCAGCACATTCCATTTCTTGCAGAGCAAAAGCAGGGACACTAAAGAGAACTCAAAAATCTGACAGGACAGTCGGATGCAGATGTGTTTTAATGCTTTTTCCACCAAGTATTTACTTTGTCATGTTGCTTGGATTGGTAGATTATTTTTTGTTTTGTTTTGTTTTACCTCTCGTGAAATACTAAGACAACACTATGTTTGGAGCAACAGAGTGAGGACAATGTTTGTGTGGCACTCCAAATATACATGACCTTAATCTGATCCTGATTACAAGAATGTAAATGTATAAATAACAACTAATCCCAGTTTTAGAAATATAAAACTGTGATTGGGGGCAGGTTTTTGCTCTCAAGGTAAGTGCTTAAAGTGTTATCAAGGTGTGTAATGTTATTCCTGAAAAATAGTCATCTAAGGCAGCCGTAGGAGCAATTTGAGTAAGTTGTTTTATAATCTTTAAATTTCACATTTGCATTTTTTATTGGTGTATCACATGGGGTTCTGGCTGCCCAGCACTCACTATCTTCTTTGTCTTGTTCACAAACACATTTTCACCCTCGATTAACCTCGTGAGTGGGAGTGGGAGGTAAAAATGTTTCTAGACTTGCCTGTATTTGAAGCATTGTCTCTCCTCCCCCTGGGTAACTGCTCCTCTCATGGCTTCTGCCCCCAGTTCCACATGTCCTACGCTGACCAGGAGCGCTATGAGAACGAGGAGAGGCCGGAGGTGCAGAGGCAGATCCTCGCCGAGATCGCCAGGAAGCTGCCGGTGTACACGAGGACAGGGAATGGAGGTGAGCCCAGCAGGGAGCTCAGCGGCTCTGAGCTCAACAGGCACAGCCAAGTAGCACACACTGGCACTCCAGAGGGTCCTGCCAACCAACAGCATTCCTAGTGCCACTGCAGCACCCATTAATTCCTGTGGGAATGATTTTCATGCCTTTTTTTCTCAAGTTTTCTCTTTGGAAAAGCAAAAAAGCCTTGAACATTCCTTCCTTCCATGGAGGACCAGGTGCTGCCTTTGAGAAGCAATATGCTACCCTTTGGATCTATGTTCAAAAGCCCATGTTGCCTGTGTTTAGTATGAGCAGTAGAATCACAAGATTCTACTGTCATCATATTTACTTAAAATGGAGTCTGGCTTAGAGACGCAGAACATAATTCTGTGACCAGATTTCTTGGCCATGCTCAGTGATTAAATGCCTCTGGACTCCTTTTGCAGCTTAAAGAAGTCTGAGTTCATATTGGAGGCTCTGACCTGCTCGTTTCTGCCAGGCTAGCCAAAGAATTCTGAAGTAAAGAACTGGAATAAATAAGGAATTACCAAAATGGAATGTATGTACAGTCTGAGTAAATGTGGAAGCCAGAAGGAAGTGTGCAGTTTTGGTTTATCACTTTTAAGCTGGCTGTATGGTTTAGAGTAGGTTTAGATTAGAAGTTGGGGAGAAATTCTTCCCTGTGAGGGTGGGCAGGCCCTGGCACAGGTTGCCCAGAGAAGCTGTGGCTGCCCCAGCCCTGGAAGGGTCCAAGGCCAGGTTGGACAGGGCTTGGAGCAACCTGGGCTAGTGGGAGGTGTCCCTGCCCATGGCAGAGGAGTGGAATGAGATGATCTCTAAGGTCCCTTCCAAGTCAAACCATTCTGTGATTTCAGTGAGGATTGCTCCCCCCATCTGCAGGTCTCCAGCAGAATCAGGAGCATTGCTTATCCTGGCAGCAAAAACCAGCAGCAAATGTACTCATCTGCTGAAGTGATAGAGGAAGGAGTATGAACAGTTAGGAAATGAACACCCATATCAGCTATCATGTGAAAAAAAAAGAAGACTCTTCCATCATTTGGTGTTAATTTGTCTTTAATCTCAGGTATTCGGTTCTGTGACAGATGCCAGCTGATCAAACCTGATCGTTGTCACCACTGCTCCGTCTGTGCCATGTAAGTCAGGGACTGTGTCTGAGGTGAACACATTCCCCATGGGTCCTGTGGGTGGGCTGGGCCTTCCCATGGCTCTTAACACAGAAAGGGACCCAGGGGCCTCTGTTCCAACTGCAGCCACCAGTGCTCCAGTGAGAAACCGTCGGCATGGCTCTCCTCTAGACGGGAACAAAGGACATTAGTTGGCCTTGAAGAAGTAATAAGAGTTTCATCTTAAAACAATACTACCTTAAAAAACTTAGACAGTGTCATTTTGACTTCCTGTCATGTAGAAATCTCACAAAAACCAGAGGTTTTGCTGTTGATCTGCAGTTGGCAATTAAGTACCAATTAAAAATCTTCCTTTTTTGTTTTTTGTCCTTTTTCAGGTGTGTGCTAAAAATGGATCATCACTGTCCATGGTATGTCCTAGATACTGGTTTGTGGCTTTCTAAGAAAGGTTGCTTATATATATATATATTTCTGGCACATATTTCTGTATGCCTCTCTCATTTCAGGCCATCCATCTCTTTATGTTGGGAAATTTATAAGAGAATTACACTTTGAAATTGCCTGAAATGTTTGATATTTTGAAAGACAGATCATTCATGTTTGTTCCATAAACTATATGTGAAAAAGCTGTGATATTGATATCATTTAAAACCCAACTGCTAATTTACTCTGACGATTATTCAAATTTGAAAGGGACTTAACCTTAGCCTTTATTCTGGGGTCTGTCATCATTTCAGCTGCACTTGGGGGTGCTTTCAATAGTAACATTTGCATGTGGATCATTACTGAACTGATGCCTGTTCAGAGACCATCAGTGCAGAAAGCTGCATGGATTAATTGAGCTTTACCCTTTTGGAGAATTGCTGCCACTCAATTTATTAAACTCCTCCTTTTTTTTTTTAAAAAAAAAAAAGGAAGATTTCAGAAATCAGAAACAACACAAACATTTCCCCGCCTGAACCTCCCTGGTAATCAAAATTGTAGAGGATTTTCCAAACCTGAGCTCTGAGACAAACCCCCACTATGTTTTCCTGCATCCTCTGGTTCCTTTGTAGAGTTGTCCTGTGCATGGAGAATTAGAACCAAATTTGGGCTTAGCTGGCTTGGATGTCACCAGCAGCAGCTGGTGAGGTTTGTGGCTGCTGAGGTTTGCCCTTGGATAAAGGAGCCCAGAACTCCCAGAGCCCGTTGCCTTTGCAGACAAGAGCCAGCCAGGAGGAATTAGCTGCTGCCTCTGGGGCACATTTGCCCGCAGGACCAACCCCAAACCATGAGCTGTGCTTGTCCTTGGCCCAGCCAGAAGCCTTGGAGTGAAAAGCAGAGACTTGAGTTCTGTTCCATTTTGGCCACTAAGGGGAGCTGCTTCTTGCCAAATTCTGTTGTGTGAGCCAGAGGTTTAATAAGCCCCCAAACTGGTCGTGCTCTTTGTGTGACAACCATGTGCTGCACAAATCCTGATTTCAACTTTGCTTTTGTCCTCTAGGGTGAATAACTGCATTGGATTTTCTAACTACAAATTCTTTCTACTGTTCTTAGCCTATTCTTTGTTGTATTGCTTGTATATTGCTGCAACAGTCTTCAAGTATTTCATTAAGTATTGGACAGTAAGTTGTGAAATCTGGTTCCTTTTTCATCTCCTGTGAGTCTCGTGGGGTTTAGTCACTCTTGTTGCTGTTTTGCTCTCAGTCAAGTGGAGGGGCTGCATTTTTCCTATGAGGTGCTTTCCTGGGCCCTTTTTGAGTCCAAAACTCCCATTATACGTCCAAAATGCACAAAAGCAAGAAGCAAATAGACTCAGGAATTCCAAACTGTAGACTAGCTTCTGGGAAAGAGGTTATACCCTTTTCCTTTTTGTTTTGCATATGTGTCTCTCAGAACATTTGGAATTGATATTGATATGTAACATCCTGACATTTATCTGTACATATTTACTGAAAAGAGAAAAAAAAAGTCAACCCCCCTTGTTCATTTTCTAATCCCCATAGGATTCCTTTCTCAGTTTAAAACTGGACTGAACTGAAGTAGCCTTTTTATTCAGTTGTTGCTGGTCACTCCTATGCAGCAGTGCCAGCTGACAGCTCAGTAAGAGCCCGGCCCTTGGCCTCTAGTTTGTGTCCCCTCAGCTGCTGACTCTGTGTTCAAGTCCCTTAACTTTGCTGGGCATTAATTGTTCCTCAGGCTCAGCAGGGCCCAGCTGTGAGCTCTGTGCTGCTCCCATGGGATGAGCCAAGGCTGGGAAGTGCCTTTGTTCCCTGCAGGTGCCCAGAGCCTGCCCGTGTGTGCTGCTGGGCACCTCTGGCACTTGGCTCCTCTGCTCTAGAAGGAAATGGGTGTCTCCACCTCTTGTAAGGTCCCACTTGGTTTTTAACCTTTCCCAAGCCCTCTCTGCTCAGTTCTAACACCCCCCATAGCTGCAGCTGTGCAGGCCAGGTTCTCTTGGCTTGCCTCACCTTGCAAGAGGTGCAGAATTTTAGTGTATGCACAGGAAACTCAGCAGAACATAAAGAGGGCTCCAAGAGCTCCTGCCTGCTCGTTTCCCCGTGGGCACAGGGTGTGCTCCTGGTGCCCAGGTGGGAAGGGTGATTGCCCTGCCTCTGCTGCACACCAAGAGTAGTGCTTTGGGTACAGGAGGGGAAATGAACCACCTCATTTCTTTGTCTCTCCTTGGTTTTTATACTAAGGTTGATTTTTGTCTACACGAGTTTGAGTAGTTTTAGAAGCTCTCTTTCTTCTCTCTAAGAATGAAGAATTTCCAGCTTTAATTTGTTCCTATCACTTGTTCTGTGTTGCTTTTCTTTCCAGGGTGAACTGACCAATGGACGTTCCAAATTTCACATCCTTTTCCTTCTCTTCGTGGCAATCATGTTCTTCGTGAGCCTCATGTTTCTGTTTGGATACCATTGCTGGCTCGTTAGCAGAAACAGATCCACCTTAGGTAAAGCTCTTGTGTCCCTCTTCTTTTTGTAAGACACACCAAAGTGCTGTGAGAACCAAAAAAGAAAATAAAAAAGGCATTTGTTCTATTTCTGTGCATTCCTGCTGGCTTATGAGGGAAGGAAGATTTAAGATCTTGGCACAATGCTGCAAAAATTTGTCATTTGAAATTAGTTGTGTCTGTTAGCTGGTGTGACAAAAGCACACAGGGAAAGAAAAAGCACAAGGGGAAACAAGAGTCTTACAGTGTAAAAGTCCAATTATAAAAATATTATGCATATGTATAACCATGTTTGAAATGAGTGCAGCTTTTCAGGAGTCATAGTTTGTTGTGTTCAGATGCTGGTGTGCATCCTAAACCAGCTTAGTGAAGTTGGGAAACAGTGTCCATTCTCATTGATAAAGGCAAAGAAGTTATGACTGTAAAACCAAAGAAATTATCTAGAACAGAATGATTTTGCCAAGTAGTTTCTTTGTCTTTCCTCAGATAAATGTTGCTCAATTTTTAAAGCTTTTTGGATAAAGTTTTATAACAAAAAAGACACTATCAAGAGTGAGCAAATATTCTGGTTTTGTCTAGTTATTAACTTTAAAACTCATTTCTTGAGGCACAGAAGCTCATCTGTCCCAAAGCATCAGAACTGTGCAGCAGCTTCGAAGGTAGATAAAATTGTTTCTAAGGCACTCCAGGTTCTCCTCCCCTCTCTCTTTTTAGTTTTGTGCCTCACCATAACAGAGGGTCTATTTGCATTGGTTTGTTCATTATATCATTAATGAATGAGGCAATTTAAATCTCCAGTACCACTTCTGGAATACTCATTGAAGGCCAACCTGTTTAATTCTGCAGATTTTTTTACTTAGAAATTTTCACCCACTGAATTTCTACAAGTCTCACAGAAAGAACTTTTAACTCTTGTTCTCTAGATTAAACAAACCATTTTTGGTTTGACTGTCCTGTAGTTGTATGACCAAATTCCTGCCTTTGATTGGAAAGTCTTTACAGGCTTTGCAAAATGAGAATAAGCTTTCACTCATTCTCAAACTTTGTAGTGCTGAATCTATATAATCTATTAAATCATGTTGACTTTAGATGGCCACATCATGCACAATCCTGTTTCAGAGACTTTGGCATTGATTTTCTTTTTTTTTCACTGAAATTGCATCTGTGTGCAGAGGCTTTCTCAGCTCCGGTGTTTCAAAATGGCCCAGATAAAAATGGATTCAATCTTGGCTTTGTAAAGAATCTTCAGCAAGTGTTTGGAGAAGAAAAAAAGCTCTGGTTGCTGCCTATTGCCTCAAGGTAAGTAATAATCAAGTCAGTGCTAAAAGCTGATGTGATTTTTGCCATTTTGTGTATAGGTTTAGGTCACAGGAAAGTGGGGGTTTTATGTGTCTTTCAGTAACATCTGACTAAGATTGAGGCCATTTTATCTTGGGTGTCATTGAAACACAAATGTGTGATTTCTGCCCTGAAGAATCTTTGCTATCAACTGATAAAATTTACACCTATGGAATAATTGCTCTGTTTCCATAATTGTTTTCCTTAGTTCCCCTCTCACTTCTACCTGTTAATTTTTATTTTTGTTTTTTTTTCTGTATCCAATTGATTTTATCAAGTTAGCACATTGAAGTTCTGCTAAAAATTACTTCATTCCAGGCTTTAGATTTGAACTTTTGTTCCCCAGTGAGCTTGAAGGAATTGAGGACCAAAACTGCTCTCTAGTAAAACTTGGCATCTGAGCTGTCATGAAAAATAAACACAGTGCTTTTCAAAGCTGAAATATGATTTTAAGTAAACATGGAAAATAGAAGCAGCAGAAAACTTTGTTTGCAGATAAAATGTGTTGCAATTGTCATCCTTTGGAGCTGTTTTTCCAGTGTCTCTCTGCCTTTTCCATGCAGCCAGGGGGATGGACATTTTTTCCCCATGAGAGCCTCGTGTGAAGCTCGGAACCCTCTCCTGGCAAATGAAGAGCAGTGGGAAGAGGATGGAATAGATGAAGAGCCCCAGGGTAAGGTAACACTGTAGGAAATCAGTTGTGTCCTGACCTACAGTGCCTAATAGATAAATTCAAAGTGATCAAATAAAAGTGAGTCCCTGGGCAGCTCTGCCTTGACTAATGAGCACAGACTGAAAATAAGCCCTACTTTGGAGTCAACTTTTTTGTTTTCTAGTAGCTTTCTACTTGCAAGTGAATGGACTGGGAGGGTGGTACAAGTTGCAGAGAGAAACTGAGATTGCCACAAACTGAGTGTTTTTACCTGTAAATGTTGTTGCATGCAGTGCAATTATCTAGGACACAAAAAAGGAGAATACTAAGATGTTTTAGAAGTGCAGTTATCTTCTGAGAGTGTGAAAGCAGGCATGCAAACACCTGAGTGCAGGGATACATTTAAGAAGCTCCTTTATACTTTGTCCAGCTTTATTACAAGAGTAAAGCAGTTCTTTTGATGCTGGATTTGATGTGCTGATCTCCATAGAAAAATAGATGTGCTGGGAGCAGGTCTAGGTGAGCTGCTGTGTTTGTGCAGTCGATTTGATGGGTTTCTGGCATTCAAAGATACCTTTTATGCTATGGAAATCCTGTTATAAACCAGAATTTATATGTATATACATTCTTTGATGGTCTTTGTTGGATGGATCCAAAATCAGTTTAATGATTTTACATTTCTGTGTTTGAAGTTGATTTTTTTCCCCCTTGGATGTTTACCTGCAAGCTTTGGTGTTTGGAGAGTACAGGATGTATTGGAAGCTCAGGATTTGTCATTAGTTTGTGCTCACGAGCCCCAGTCCCCTTGTTTGAGGGTTCAGAAATCTTGTCTGCAAGGGCTCCTGGTTTTTCCTGTGGAGCAAGGATGCCATTCACAGGTTCCTTTTAAAATAAAGGTGGTAATCCCACCCTTTTTTTCCCTTTAAGGAATGGTGATAGTGTGAATTAATTCTGAGGTTATTTATAATCCATGGATCAAACATCGGGGACATGATTTCCATAGTTGTGCTCTTTGTTGCCTCAGAAGAGTTTTCAGGAACTTTGCTGATAAAGTTCTCTTTCAGGGTGTACATTTTAGTCCCACATGCACAGGATTTCTGTTTGAGACCCTGTGAGGAAGACTTAGCCTTGGGCAAAGGGTAAAAAAGCTTTTCATGTGAACATTTTCCTACCCGAGCTGTGCCATGAGCTCTTTAATCCTCCAGCACAGGCTCTGCTGCTCAGGCTCTGCTCAGATCTCACCTGCAGCTCTTTGTTCAGGTTTTCCATTGCAAAATAAACTGACTTCATGTCCTGCTGGGAAAATCCACTCTCCAGGAGTTTGTCAATAGGACTGAAGAGGCTCATTTCAGCTTTTCTTCAGATGAACTGCTTTAATTGGTTCCTGTCTGTGTGTTAGAAAACTACCTGCTCTTCCTGGTTTGCTCTATACATTTTGGCAGTTACAAGGTAACACAAATTGGTTTTAAAAATACCAGAATTGGCTTTAATAGTAACAAACTATGGCATCTCTGTGAATTTTTTGTGAGGCTTAAAACAAGTCCTTTAGGAATGAGTCAGAACTTCTTCCAACTTTTACGAAGTATAACTTATCTGAATAAATAATTAATTCTTACATATGAAAACATTTGACAGTGAGATGATTTTTGGCTAGATCAGACCCCAGAATATGATCTGGAGCTTATATGAAGTTCCTCAATTTATAGTGCTTATAAAATAACTGACATTTACAGGCAGTTGAATTAGATGATCATTATGGGTCCCTTCCAGCTGAAATATTCATGTTCCCTCTTAAACAATAGAAGTAAACCATTATAATTGAGTAGTCAGAAAGACCTGAAATGTTACATTAAAACTGAAAGATCTTCATTTGTCTTTGTGGCTTTAAAACTTGTGACATGGTTATGAAATAAATAAAGCCAATAATAGAGCAATCTCAGTTTGAAAGCAGCTGTTCAGTTATCTCTGACAAGTGGTTGTCTATTTTCATTTGGAATGACTCTTAAAAACACACTTCCATACTTAGTGAAAAATATATTCTCAGCGAGAAAACCAGGTTTACTTGCCTCTGACTGCTTTGTTTTTCACTGTACAGGTTCTGGTGAAGCCTCAGCCCTTGTCATAGAAAGGGAGACATAGCAGTGTGACAGTGCAGCTGGGTAAAGCTTGAGCACAAAGGTCAGTATTCCTTCCTTTCCCTCAAATCCACACTCTGCAGGGAAATGGGGAGGGGCTGTTGGACAGGGTTTGGCTTTAGCAGTGCCATCCCCATGGTGCTTGGACAGTCCCTGAACACGGGGGATGGAGCTGTGGTTTCACCAGTATTCCCCAGCTTGCCCAGAAATCCCTGGTTCCAGGGAACCTGAAGGGCAGGGGTGGCTCTCAGCAGCCCTGGCTGGGGTTGGCCCAGGTAACACCAGAGCCACCAGCACAGTGTGTAGAGGAGGACACAAAGCCTGTAGCTGCTCTGGAAAATGTGGCAGGAACGACTCTTGCACTGACTCGTACAATTCCAAGGTGGGAAGTCTGTGCAGGGATTCGTGGAAGGAGTAGGAAGGTGCAGGTGCAGTCTAATGAAAGTTGAGAGCAGCTGGGGGAAAATGGAAGTGACCTGGAATGTCACATCAGCTGCTGCTCCCTGAGCTATTTTTTCCACCCCGGAGAAAGGTGGGTACAACAACAGATGACACTGTGGGGAAGATGCTGCTCCCAAAACATTCCCTGGTCTGTAAAGCTGTTCTGCCTTTGAGAATGGGGCACACACACAGGGAGCTGCAGGCTCTGTCCTCTGCAGGCTCCGGGAGATATTCTCCCAGAGGAGTGTGACAGGCCGAGATCCAAGGAGTAGGAATCTGCTGTCCCACTTGCAGAAGGTGGGACAGGCAGCTGGAATTTACCCCTCTGTTTTCCAGGGGTGTTAATAACTATTGTATGGCAAAGCACTGCCTGGCTGTGCTCACAGACGGGGCACCTCCAGACTTTTGCCCATGGGCTTCTGGCATTTTGTGGATACCAGTCCATTTTCTTCCACTTACAAAAACTCAAAAGTGTTTTTTCTGTCAATAGTGAGGACTGAATTCTGCCCTTCTACTGGGGAGGGAAAACCAGCATTTTCCTTGTTGTTCCTCACGGCTTTAAAACACTCAGTTTAAGTCCAGATCAGCCATTGATGCTCATCACAACAGCGTTATAGGTGCACATTTTTGTTTCCTTAGATTTCAGCTTCCCTCTCAGGAGCCAACACCTCTTGGCATGGACTTCAGTTTTGAGGGGCAGAAAACAAGTGGATCTTCAAGATGAAAAAACGTCCTGAAGTATCACCCAACTGGAGTCTGCATCTGAGAGTGCTTCTCCAGAAATCCTGCTGTCCAGATGGCCCAAGACTTTATAAGTTTCAGTTACAGAGTTAACAGAACAGTTTTATAGAGTGATTGTGGCCAATCTTCTTTGGCCTGCTCTCTTTATTTTATAAATACTATATATTTTTTATGCAAAAAAGGTAAAAATGTTGATGAGAGTGCACTTCCAAAGGCCTTTTCATTTTGCAAATGTCAGGGACTTGAGTTTTTGAAATTCTACCAAGCCATAATATTCTTGGGGATGGTTATTTATTTTGAGGCTGATTCTCCAACCTTCTCTGACATTTTCTACTGTGTTTGAAGTTCTGAATCAGTTCAGCCCAGTGCGAGACAGACCCAGTTAAATCTGGCACTAAATTGGTAGTTGGGTGTAAGTGTGTTGAAAGAAAAAGTGCTGAACATGCACACTGACATGTGCAGCTGTGAATGCAAATAAAATATTCCCATTGCCAGTATCAAGATTCAAGAATATTGTGGCCATAGATTTTTTAACTTTTTTTAGGAGGGTGTTACTGTCTTAGAGTTTGGTTACAGTGCTCTTTGGCCAGTCCTACTTGCAGGCACCTAAAATGCAAACAGGAACTTCAGACAGTCCAGTTTGCATTAATTCCTAGGGCCAAAATGTCCACTCATTCCTGGATCGGTGTTTGATGGAAATTTGTGTGTTTGTGGAATCAGAAAGGAAGGTGTGAATTTGAAACACAGGAGTTGGAAATGACAGTGAAAGTTTAGCTCCAACAGTGGTGTTTGGAGTTTACACTCCACACGAAATGCTGAAGAGACAATTGATATATAGAGTTTTTCAGACTTCTTCCCAAACCAGTGCACTGACTGGTGGTTCCAGGAGTTTCAGCACTAGGTGATCAGATTTTTTTTTTTACATTTTGCTCCATTTGCAGGCAAAGGGATATATCCTGGTTCTGTTCTGGGGAAGGGAACTGACCCTTTGGCCGGATTATACACATTTTTCTAGACTTGACTCTTTTTTTATCTGCATGATTCAGCCCTGGCAGCTCCATCACTCATGTCTGAATTAGGTGCATGCTTACAGTATTAGTGTACTGCCTTTAAGATCATTTGGTACCATTTTCTCTCCCGGTTTTGTGTTTGTTTATCAGCCCATTGGCATTGAGGTGACTGCAGAGGCACTTGTGCCTGTCAGGAGAAATGACCTGAGAAGTGAGTTTGGTGACAAAGGCTTTGCCTACCTACTAAATCCTTTTTTTTTCCTCTGTTTGCTCTGCTGCTGCTGCCGGTGGGAAGGTGTCTGTGAGATGGGAGAGCCTTGCAGAGACCTTCTGCCCTTAGGAGCCGTCGTTTCCCTGCTGTGATCCCGCCCTGGGGACAGGGATGCTCAGCTCTGCAGTTCTGTGCAGAGCAGGCAGGGGTCTCTGGAGTGTCTTGCTGCTGAATTGGGTTGTGAGGGGTCAGGGTGGGCTCACCTAGCCTCGGGGTGGTTTGTCTGTGTCCTCACAGTGCTCTCGAACACTCAAAATGTTCCTGCTTCAGCCACCGGAGCCCTGGCCATGGGGTGGCTGTCACAGAACAGCTCTCCAGTGTTTCTCCTGCCCATCTAAACCTGCATTTCTAATGTAAATCTCGAGTTGGACCTTCCCCTGCGTGTGGTGAAAGATGGCAGCAGAATTAATCACCTCATTTCTGGTAAAACGTGCTCTGGAGGGGGAGTTTGAGAGGACAGTGGCAGCTAAACACAACAAGAAATGTGCAGGAATTTAGCACCCACAGAGGTGCTATTTGTGCCTTCAAAACCTCAAAATTCCTTGTGTAGAAAACCAGGAAGAAGATCTGGGGACTTTCTGTTCCATTCTGTCAGCTGAAGTGTGTTTTTCAGAGCTGTGTGGATTTACAGGAGTTTTCTGAGCAGGTTCCTGTGTCCTTCCTGGGTTTGGTTCTGGTTACAGCTGTGTCTTTGAGCTGTTTCTCTGCCAGGCAGCAGCAGCAGCAGAGCTGCCCATGAGCTCTGCAGGCACCATCCCTGCCTGCTCCTGCTGCAGCACTGCTCACTTGGCAGTACAAAAAATCAGGTTTCATCTTCTAATAATTATTAAACCAGATATCTTTAAAAGGCAGCTACCAAGCTCAGATTTAGAAGCAATTTTAAACATTTACAAGTAACTTTTATTCAATTTTTTTTCTTGTAAATAGTTATGGCCAATTCTTCCCTTTCCTTAAAAGCAGCTCAGCCCCCTGTGGTTGTAAAAAATCTCTTGCTCAGGTAGAAAAAATAGAGTTTAATCACTTCAGAACCACTCCCCATCAATATCCACGTCAGGTGTTGGAAAGCTTCAGGAGATGGGAAACAAACACAAAAGCTGTGTAAAAATGAGGCAGAACAAACCAAGGGAGACCCACATGTCTGAGTGACTGAACAAGCTCCATTTTGTTCCCTTCTCCTCACTGAAGGTGATATCCTTGTGTTACCCTGGCATTTGTCCTGTTTGTGCACTGGCAAACAGCAGTTGCTCAGCTGCTGTGCTCACTGCTGCAGGTGCTCAGAGGGAAGGTACCTGCCCAGTGCAGGGCAGGTTTTTTAACCTGCAAATGGCTCTTTAAGGGGTACACCTACTGCAACACCTCCTTTGTTTCCCATCCCCATCCTCATCCAGAGGCTCTCCACCATCAGCCCTGACTGGGAGGGCCGTGTCATCAAACCTGTCCCTTACCTGCCCCACCAGCCCCTCCTGAGCAGCTGCTCCCTCCATCCCAGCACTGCAGGGATGGGACTCAGCCCCCCCAGTCCCACAGCAGCGATGGCACTGCGGCTCTGGGAGCTGCCCAACACTTCCAGTGCATCCTGGCTCTTCCTCCTGCTGCTGTGCTGGGGCACAGCTGTTCCAGGTCTGCTCTGTGTGCCCGGGAGCTGCCTGTGTTCCCCTGGGACCGGCACCTCGGGATGTTACTGTTGGTCTCTGGTCAGGTGCTGTAAATCCAGTTGCACCAAACAATTTGGTGAAGTGGAAAGGTTTGAATCTCAGTTCTGATGCTGTTGGAAGTTGTGAGACTGTCGTGCTCGGTGCTGAACCGCAGCCTGGAGCAGTGTGGAGGCAGGAAGGCTGTTTTCTCTGCCTTAGTGGCAGACATGGACTAGAGAATGAAGCAGAAAATGAGTGGTTCTCAGCTCAGGGTCAGAAACAGCTTCTGTCCTTAGGGGATCTCCTCCTGCTGCTGGAGCTGCAGGTGTAGAAGCAGCTGTAGGTCAAGATTTTGTTGCTTGGCTGAGTGCAGCCAAGGTGGGGGGCTGACTGGAAGTGGGGCAGTGCTGGGCATGAGCAGCCCTGGGGCCAGCTCCTGTCAGGGCTAATCCCATGAGGCCCTGGAAGCTGGAACAGGAGCACCAGTGGTTGTGTAGCTCTGCCAGCAGTCACCAGGCAGTAATAAATATGGGCTGAGTGCCAACCAGCGTGGCAGTGTCAGACCCACGGCTGTGGATTTGTGAGCTTCCCTCAGGGCACAGGAGTGTGGGCTCAGCACCTGCCACCTGGCCTGGGCTCCTTCTCTTGGTATTGCAGCATTTTACAAATGCATCTCACATCCTCCTTGAGGCTGAGCTGTCTCAGCCATGAGCAACTTTTCCAAGTGATGTCACCATGGGAAAGAAGCAGCAAATGATCTTGCTGGACTTTACTGTGGTACCTGCCACTGTCTCATCCCTCTGCTCCTGGTTTCATGTTCCAAAGTAACTGATCACTAACAACCACCTCCTCACCTCTCTCTCTCCTCTCCCATTTACATTCAGGTACACTGTACTCTTAAAAAAAATAGGGAAAACATCATATTGATGTTTCTCTGGTCAGTCGTGTCCTGGGCCAGGACTCGTCCCCACCCCACCACTCTCAGTTCCCTTTTCTCTGGCTGAGCTGGATCTTTGGAGCAGGATAACTTTGTTTTCCTTCAAGCAGGGAGCAGTACTGTATGTTTTTAGCAGGCTGTACCTGGTGTGAGTGGTGCACAGTCACTGGCAAGAACCAGGAAGCTTCCTAATGGCATTGTGCAATGAATGTTTGCTTCCTGGGAGAAATGGGAGTGGGATTCAGCAGAATCCACACCAGCTGGAGCTCTGGAGCTCTGTATGCTGGTATGGACTGAAAGCACAACTTTATGCATAAAGTCTGTAATATGAACATAAAATAATAAATAATTTACCATTTTTCCCCTGAATTTAGCTCTGAAGGACATGCTGAGCTGTTCTCAGGGCCCCACTGCCTCCCCTGCAGAGCAGTTACTCTGCAGAGCAGTTCCTCTGTGCAGAGCCAGCTCACTCACCCGAGGGTTTAATTAGCAGGTGAAGGAGGCACTGCTGACCTTGTTTATTGAGCCAGAATTAATTAACTCAGAAGGGTCATGTTTTCATTCAGTGACTCCTGTGGTACAGATTTTTGAAGTTGATCCATAGTACTTGAAAATACCTCAATTTTATTGATATTTGTCCAATTCTATCAGCTTCTGCTTGGTTACAGAACACTTGCAAAAATCAGCTCGTTCTGAAGGGATCAATGACAGCATTTGCATGGTAGAGTGGCTGCTTTCAGTGCCAGCAATGGGCTGTCAAACAGCTTGGCAGGGCAGCCCCCCACGGGCTCTTCCCGCTTAATGCTGCATTTCCTGCCCTGCTCATTAGCGCTGAGCTCGCACCCACTGCTGCAGCCTCTGAGCCTTGTCCTTGTTCCATCTCCCCTTGAGAGTTCTCTCTTCCTCCTAAACATATAGTTAAGATATTTTCAGCTGTGAGCTGCTTGTGCTGGTTTTTGGATACTGTGAAGGTGAGTAGGTGTCATTTTATGCAGTTGTGCCTGTATTTTATTTGTAGTTAATCTGTTTGTCAGGTATCAGTTTGTGATTCTAATCATCAGGCCCAGCTGGCTTTGCTTAGAGCAGCAGGATCCCACTTCCTGCATTTTCTCTTTCCTAAAAACCTCATTTCTTCATTCTTTCACTTTAGTTTGGGATGTAAACCTTGTGAAATAAAATCTGAGTTTACATTTCAAATACAAGTCTGTAAGTTGGTCATGCCTGCATGCTCCTTAAAAAAATTTTTTTTTCTGTATAAGGTTTTAAGATTTACAGCAGCATTTGTAAAGCTTTAGTGGGTAACAGACAATGTTAAAAAAAGTGTATGTCGAGGGGGGAAAAAGAGTAGCCAAAAAAACCCAACAAAAAGGACCAAGGGATCATCTTTGTTTCTTCTTTCGGCTGTGTTTGAAAAGAAATGCCTGCTTGCATCAACCAGCCCATGGAACAGGCAGGGACTTCACCTGCAGGCATCCCTGCTGTTTCAGTACTTCCTCGAGTACTTAATTTCTTGAGTTCAACATTGGACTAAATCCCGTGGAACCAACAAAATTGTCCTCCCCATCTCCTTCCTGACCTGGAGAAGGTGTGTGCTGCCCCTTCTCAGATCAGCACTTTCCTTTGTAAGAGAAATAAAAATCCAGTGGACTCTTGACAAGGTCAGTGTATTATTTTTTCCCCCCTGCCTTTTTCTGGAGAATCCAGGAGCCTCCTGGATGTGTCCAAGAGAGAAATCCCTCGGCACCTGGGATCCCAAAGGATGAGTTTTGTGACTAAGAACTTGTGTGAGGAGGTGGAACCTGTTGTTCTGCTGTTCTGAACTAACTCCACGTGTGGTCATTTTTCCTCAGAATTAATGAAGTAGCTTCCTGCTCTACTCACTGCCCATCTAAGCAGGAGCTACTCCAGAGTGAATCCAAATCCACTGTTGGAGCAGGGAACTTGTAACAGCTTCCCTTTTGCTTAGGAACATAGGAAATAGAAAAGGTCTTGTTATTTTATAAATTATTATCTGATCAGATGGCTGATCTTCATCTGAAAATGCTGTTTATTGTGCAAATGGGTCCCTCAAAGATGAAACTTAATTTAAACCTCAGGATCAGACCATGGCAGCCCTGTCTGCATGTGCTGTTCAATGTTAGCAGGAGTTTTTACTTTGCCTCACAGGAAAGCCAGTGGGTTTCACTTGCTGGAGTTTTTCCAGGCAGGAAAATGGGGCTGAACAGCCCCTGCAGGAGCTGCTGTGTGTTGGGAGCTCCCAACACACTCCCTCTGCACCAGGGTCAGGGCTCCCACCACTGGAACCCACTATGGAAGCTGTGCAGGCTCTGTGCCAGCAAAATCAGGGGAAACAACAGAATTCCAGGGGATTGGTGTTTACATCCAGCTGTTTTGCAGGAAGCAGCATGGGCTGGTGGGGGTGTTTCTTACCCCAGCTCTGGTCTGGACGTGCCGCTCAGCCGGGTGCTCTCAGACAAATTCCTCACCTCCTCATTTAGTAGGAAATAACTATTTTCCAGTGAATGTCACAAAGGGACTGCTGCCCACCTTTGGGGTGCTGATTTGGGGTCAGGAGTATAATGCTGCTGCTGACAGTGAGACTTTTGATATCAAATGGGTTTTTACAAAAGCTTGGGATACTCATTTTTACTGTTGGACAAACATTCTGACTACGCTGATGCTCTGTGGAGTTTCACTGGCATTTTCCAAGTGTTTGTACAGTTTCTACAGCTGAATATCCTGTATGTTCTGCTTTGTTGTTTTCTATTATGCTTTATACTATACTGCAGGCAAGTACTGCATTAAAACCATTTTTGGCTAATTTATTATACTTGTGAGTGGTTATTTCCTACGCTCAGGCTAAATGTTCCCTCTCTGGAAGCCTCACACAACTTTAATTAATTGGAATTACCACTTGGAGCAGGGAAGGTTCTTTATTTGTGACAAAAAAGGATTCACTAAATGCTGGGAGTGGTGGGGGCAGCCCAGGCCTTGGCACTCTGCTCACCTGCTGAGGTGCAAAGGACACTTGAGACAACCTTCCCTGATCCTGCATTTGTTAGAACATGGCTATGTTTTAAAAGAGTAATGGACTATATTGTACTTATAGATACATTTCCCCAAAGTTACAGTAAGGTAAGGCCAGTGCCAGCTGAAGTGCTGGACGTCAGGTACCTGGTGCCAGGGGATTTAAAGCCAAAGACAGAAGGAATTTGGCCCTGATTGCTGTTTAATGTGACCCATACAATGAGTGCATTGAGGGCTTGGAAAGGCTGCTGAGCTCTGAGGGCCATGCTTGTCTGCTGGCTGTAAGTCCTGTTGCTCTGTGAACAGAACTAGAAATGGAGTCCCAGCTTATTGCTGCGGTTTTCCTCATTTAAAAGGGTTGATGAGACCAATCCAGCCTCAAGTTTTGACTCCTAAAACTCCCAAGTACTGTAAGCGTAGAATTTCCACAGGCACTGCTGCTCCCACCCCTGATTCCCAGTTTTCCAGGGTATGTCTGCTGCACTAGGAAGCTTCTTTATTCAGGACCATTGAGCAAGACAACTGGGGATGTTTTACTATTTGAAAATAATGTACACAGAGCAAAATTCCTCTGGTTCTCAGCTACCAGCCGAAGACCAAAAATTCTGCCAAAAATTCCCTGTGGCTGCTCAGAAGGACACTGAGGTCCCAGTGCACCCCTAGTTTTGGAGGCATTGGGAGTGGCTGTACTGGCTGACCTGGAGTGATGGACAGTGACCCCAGAAATGAAGGAGGCTCTGGTGGGATTTAGTGGGTTTATTTGCTCTGCAGGCAGCCACAGACAGGAGAGAGAAGAATAAATAAGTTAAAGCAGAGTGTGGCAGTTTAACAACCCCAACATGGAGATGCTTGGCCATGTAACCAGAGTGCTTTGATCCCTGTTCAGGCCAGAACTCACCTAAGTCAAGTATTTCCCCCTTTGGCCAGAAAGGTTCCCAAACATGCCCTTGACAACCCAACAAAATAAAACATAGAAAAAACCTCTTGTAATGTCATAGAGTCACATCCAGTTGTTCTGAGATTGTCAGTCTGTTCCAAAATACTTCTGTCCAAAGTGTGTTGGTGCAACAGGATGCACTTCTGTAGTTAAAATGGTGATTTCTGGGAATTCCTGGATGATGGATTTGGCACCTTTGAAGAAAAAGCAAAGACAATAATGACTACAGTGCTTCAGCACATGCCAAATCAGGATCAGCAGCACTCTGAAGGTGAGGCAGGCTCTGTGCTCCTGTCTCCACTTCCTGTTCCTGCCTTAGCTAATGTCTGTGAAGAAAACTTCCTGACTGCAGGGGATTGCTTTTTTGGGGATCTCTTCTTTGGATTTTCCTTTACGGTACACGTGTACTCCCCACCTAATGACTAAAGTGGTTCCAGGCTGCCAGGAATAAGTCCCTGCAGTCCAGCTCAGTGTTTTGGTAGTGATTTCTGCCATGGCCCATTTCTAAAACACAGGAGGCCCATTTTCGTACTTCCCAAAGGCAGATGTCCCTGGTTTAGATCCCCTTTTCCCAGGTAACATCTCTACCGTGCAGACAGGACTGTTCTGTAGCTCCATTCACCTCCCACTCCTGGCAGAACTGGTATCCTTTTGGTGCTGGACCTACCCATCCCATTCCATGGGCTACTGCCATTGTGTGGGAGCCACGGAAGCCCTTCATGGACCTGGCAGTGCTGCAAAATCCTTTCCCATTCGGTGTGACAGGCCCTTTCCTTTCTGCTGCCCCACTCACTGCCCACACCATGGCTCTGTTTTACAATTCAGCCATAAAGCCCCCAACCCCCTCTGTTCTGGGCAGTGACAGGACTGGGCTGTGGCAGAGGCTCAGCTCTGCCCCTGTGTCACACGTGGGACTGATGTCACCTCCCCAGGACACCCCTGTGCCCCCCACAGCCCTGACTCACCGTGGGGTGTGGAGAACAGGCTGAGCAGGATGATGACACTGGGCTGGACCCCGTGTTCCACCAGCACCTTGACAGCCTCGATGACAGTGTTCCCAGTGCCTGCAGGGGACAGAGGGACAGACTGTGTGGGTTTTTCCCCTGGATGATGAACATGTCTGAGAATACCTGTGGTAATGTTGGTGTGTGACTGAATGGTGATTCTGTCCTTTCCCACTGGAAAGCCATCACCTCTGCATGTGTTAACCAGAAAACGTTGCACTCCTAATGAAGGAACTTAGACTGGAAAAGTTACCTCATCCCAACAAACTCCTTATCAGAGTAGGGGTTTTTTGTCAGTATTAACTGGATTTAATTTTAAAGTAATTTACTTCTCAGATTATAATATTGATCCAAAAATGGTTTTTAATAATGTAAGAAAAATACTGTTTCAATCTTGTCTCATGGCAAAATTTAAAAAAAATCAATTTATACCAAGTCTTAATCTTCAGCCTTTCTCCCAAACACCGCCATGGCCAAAGGATTTGCTTTGCATTCCCACTGGTGCAGCTGACTGATGTGTGTCCTGGCACAGCCTGATAGTTCCCTGCTCTGTCACCTAAACCAAGCAGAAAACCTCATCCAAGCCCCTGAAATTTGGAGGGTTTCCTTTCATCCAGGCCCTCCCCGTTCCGAGGAGTCTGACTGTCCATAAAGGTGGCAGACACTCACTCAGGATTGGGTACATCAGCAGCACTTTCCTCCTGTAGATGTCTGGAGGGAACTTGGCGTAGTACACCTTGGCTCGCTGGGTCTCCTCGTCGCTCTGGATCAGGATCTTCCCGATGCGGATGGACCGGCAGCAGTCCCGGAGGCCTTGTTCCATGGCCTCTCCTGCAGGGAGAGCACAGGCCCCAACAGCAAAGGGTTACAGGCTGAGAAACAGCCCCACTGCAGGGCCAGGGACAGTCCCACCACTGCTGAAACAGCCCCGCTGCAGGGCCAGGGACAGTCCCACCACTGCTGAAACAGCCCCACTGCAGGGACAGGGACAGTCCCACCACTGCTGAAACAGCCCTGCTGCAGGGCCAGGGACAGTCCCACCACTGCTGAAACAGCCCCACTGCAGGGCCAGGGACAGTCCCTCCTCTGCTTCTCTGGGAACAGTTCTAAAGGGAGATTGTTTGTCCTTAGTTCTAAGAACACTTGAAGTTCTTTTCCTTTTTTCTGTGCTGAGACAGAAAACTGAATCTCCTCGGTGTTCCTGACCCCCTGGGTGTTGGTGTTCCTGACCCCCTGGGTGTTGGTGTTCCTGAGGTGCTGGTGTTCCTGAGCCCTGGGTGTTGGTGTTCCCGAGGTGTTGGTGTTCCTGAGCTCTGGGTGTTGGTGTTCCTGAGGTGTTGGTGTTCCTGACCCCTGGGTGTTGGTGTTCCCGAGGTGTTGGTGTTCCTGACCCCTGGGTGTTGGTGTTCCCGAGGTGTTGGTGTTCCTGACCCCTGGGTGTTGGTGTTCCCGAGGTGTTGGTGTTCCTGACCCCTGGGTGTTGGTGTTCCCGAGGTGTTGGTGTTCCTGAGCTCTGGGTGTTGGTGTTCCTGAGGTGTTGGTGTTCCTGACCCCTGGGTGTTGGTGTTCCCGAGGTGTTGGTGTTCCTGAGCTCTGGGTGTTGGTGTTCCCGAGCCCCTGGCTGTTGTTCCCACAAGCAGTGCTGAGCTCTCAGAGGGCAGAGCTGGCAGTGGCAGAACCAGCGTGTGGGGTTTGGGGAACATCCGTGAGCTCTGCCTGGAGCCCCCCCGGTGCAGAGTGTGGGGCAGGAGCTGTGGGGCCAATGGATTTGACAGCACAGATCCCAAGGTTTGCACAGCACTGGGAAATAACTCTGCCACCACAGGGCGTGGCTGGAGTGGGGCCCTGGCTCTGGGCAGGAGTGGGCAGTGGGAACCAGGGGAGGGCAGCTGGCCCCTCACAGGGAGGAGAAGAGGCCAGAGGAAATCTGTTGCAGCCATTTGTTGCCTAAAAAGTTAATGAAAGATACTCCTGGACATTTGTGGTCAAGGATATCCAAGAAAGAACAACAACTGGCAGCTTTGGGTAAACCTTTGCTGTAGAGAAATATTGTTGTACATTTTTTGCAAGGAAGTTCTTACAGGTTTCCAAAGTGTTTAATTCACACTCCTGTAACACCAGCAGTACCTACCACTCCTCATGATGCTGACCCCGCAGTTTCCCTTTTCAAATCGGACTCCTTCATACTTGTGTCCTGTGAGGAAAGAAACCAGGGCTCAGTGGCAGTTCCCTTCTGCCCCCTCTGGACACCCCTTTGGGAACACTGTGTGACATGACCTCGGTAGGAATGGAACCAAGATCCTGCAAATACCCAGGGGACAACACCAAGGCCATGGGTCTGCACGGGTGGCACAAACCACCCTGCACCCCAGACCCTGCAGCCCTCCAGCCAGCAATGGGAACAGGGCCAAAACCCAACTGGTAAAGAACTTGTGCTCTTTTTATAATTGAAAGTCATGTCAGAACAGCAGCACAGCAGGGACCCTGTCAGGTGTGTGTTTATAGCAGGGATTCCATCAGATGTGTGTTTACAGCAGAGATCCCGTCAGGTGTGTGTTTGAAAGCTCAGGGATTTGGTGACTATTTTAAATAAAGGACACTATGCAAAAGAAAGGTGAGCAGTGCATCCCCCAGGAGCCAGGTAAATGCAGTCCAGTGCTGCAGGTGACAGTCAGAACCGAAATATGATCCTACAGTGCCACTTGACCACTGAAAGAAAAAAGGGGCAATGGTGTGCACATGAGACTTCCCACTCAAAACACCTGAAAAGCTTCCAAGTGATGTCCCTTGCAGGAGACCTGCCAGTCAAACTGAGTGACACACGGGGGATGGTCATCGATCTGTCACGGACTGTTGGGAGCAGAGGTGCCAGCAGAGGTGCCAGCAGTGCCCCAGAGGTAAAGGAGCTGCTGTTTCACTTCCAAAGGAGCCCAGGAAGTGACATTGCCCCCTGGGTGCTGCCTAAGCTCTGCCGAGTTTCACGGTCCATCCTTTCTCTAACAAAGCAAAGACATACCCATGATTTACTGCAGAGGGTGGGAATGTGTCATAGGTTTGAAAACAGATGTTGGAATTTTCTTTCTTCCCTAGGGTCCCGTTCCCGTCCCCGTTTCCCCCCAACCCCCTTTCCTCCGGGCTGGGGGGAGTCGGGGAGGGGTGGGGGCGGAGTTGCGGGCAGGGAGTGCGGCAGGGATGGCGGGCAGCGCAGGAGCGGGAAGGGGGAGGAGGAGAGGGGAGGGCTGGCGGGAAGGGCGGGGGCTGCAGAGCAGGGCTGCGAGTCTTTGCTTCGGTGGCTTTTGGTTTGGTCCGGGACCGGACAGAGCAGGAGCCCGGTTTTTGGCTGCCTCTTTCTCTTTTCCTGAGAGGAAATTTTTTTCCCCACGGGACACCTGGGGGAGAACAACCGAGAGAGAGACCGACCCATCTCAGAGCGAGGTATTCTGCTTTCAAGACTGCCTGTGGGAAAAAGGACTTGTTTTTTTTCCCTGCTGGCTGCGAGCACACGTGGCTGCGAGAGCTTTGAACTGCCGGGACAGTCCTGCCCCTCTCCCTGGGTTGCCGTGGGTTTCCTCTCCCCCCACCTGGGGGATTTGGGATTTTGTTGTTTCTTCTCAAAGTTTTTGATTACAGCATTTGTTGTTTATTCAGATTTTGTTAATAAAAAGCTGTTTCTTTTCCTTTTCCACACTTCCACTTGAAGTCTCTTTTAATTTCTAAATTGTAATCTTGTTAAACTAAGACAATGTTTCCTTGTAGAACTGCAAATGGAATTCTCAGGGGAACAGGACTCACCTGGTGCATGTCTTACAGGTGTGCTGTGGGTCACACCACACACTCAGTTCCCACTGACTTGTGATGCTCCCAGCAGCTGCCTTATGTACACAACTTATGGATCTTCACAGCTCATGGAAGCAAACCACAGTTACTGCCAGGGTTTCCTCTAGTGCCAACACAGCCACTTTTCATTTCCTGCTCATCATCACTCCAAGCTGGCCCCAGCTGCAGGGACAGATTTAGGCTGACAAGGCAGAACTGCTTATGCCAAGTACTTTTCCTTTAATGGGCATATGAAATGTCCTCAGTTTTAATTCAAGGTTGTGGTGTGGGCAAGTAAACTCATCTTGCACCTACATTGGCACATTTTCATGACAGTTTTGAAAGACCAATTTAAAACTTAATGAAATGCCAATCATGTGACTGTATGTTCTGCTCAGTTGTGCTGTTACACCTTCTAGCTGTTTAAATAACAGAAGGGACTGTGCTCTGCCTGCATGGTGAACTGTTTCAGGCTCCCCAGGGAGGTGGTCAGGGCACTGAGCCCGTCAGAGTTCAAGCAGCATCTGGATGTCACAGGGTTCAGTTTTAGGCAGTGCTGTGGGGAGCAGGGATTTGAATTCTATGATCCTGTGAGTGCCCTCCACCTAGAAATATTACATGATTCCTGTAACAGTTCTGTATTTTTTATATTAGTTACACTTCCACTTCTTGTTGTGCCCAGGAGAGGAGTCCTTTCCCACGTACCTGTTGGAGTGGTCACAGTACATTCTGTGTAGGGCAGTTGATTCAGTCCCTCTTCAACCACCAGTCTGATCTGTGGAACCAAAGAGATGGGTCAGCTCAAAGGGATTTGTAATGTATGGACATAAGATAGTCCATGTTAGCAGTTTTTAAAAGCACTAGATGAACATCTAACAGCCCAAAGGGTCTAGAAGGGTCTTTTTAATAGTAGTTAGGGACTGAATTTAGAGACCTTTCTGTGGTGATGCCTACATTTTGCCCAACAGATCAAATGAAGGCATTGCAAAATCAATTTGGGGGAAAGGGGGATTCATCAGCAATCATAAAACTGACTTTATTTATATCTGGCAGGCCTAGACATCACAGACAAAGTTTTCTCAACAGATGAATGAGGCACCGATGTAACTTCATTTGCTGATAGGAAATACTAGTGAGGGAAAGGGAAAATTTCCCCCCTCAGTTCCCCCCCAGTTGAGCTCTGAGGTCTATTTTCACATCTGTATTTCCAGGACTAACCTGCAGTGGGGCTGCCAGAACAGCCATTTTTACATGGCTGCAGCAATGTAAACACACCACTGAGTGCCCAAAGACAAGTCAGCAGATCTAGAAATCTCTTTATCACCTTCTCCTGGCACCTGCCAGCTGTGGGTACTGTGGGATGCTCTGCCAACCACCCCCACTGTTGGATGGTTTAGGTGGAGGTGCAGCTCATGAGCCACACACCCCTCCAGTGGCCACAAACCCCCCAGTCCTCTCTCCTGGGGCTGCTCTGCAGCTGCACCCCAGGCAAAGTTCCCAAAATATCTTCATCGTGATTGCCCCTGAAACATGCTCTGGCTATTAAAAATGTTAAATTTCTCTCTGTACACGAGCCAAAGATTTGTAGGCCAGAACTGCTTCAGGAGAGCTACAGCTGAGCCAGAGATGAGTCTCGTTATTCCAGAGTCCCTGTGGGATGGCAGAAGTGAGGGGACTGCTCCTGGGATGGAGCAGCTGTACTGCTCCCCTCAGGCACTTCCCATCCCAGAAACAGGGCACGGCAGGCTGGAAGGTTTTTTCTGGTTTTCCATTCTGCCCCAGTTCCTGGCACACAGGCAGCCTCTGCTAGAAATGAGAGATGGTCCCTTAAGTTTATAATCCCTCTTTGGAGATTTTTTTTAGTCATTTTAGTCCAACTTTTTTTCCTAGAGCTGGGTTTGTGGCAGCCTTACTCAGAGGTGGTGGGCAGTTTCCAGGACATCTGTACCCAATTTTATTTTATTTTTTAAAGTTAATTCACACCAAAAAAAACTTGTCCGTGTTGATAAAACACTTCTTTTTGCACTGTGCTTTCTGCCACCTCCATGCTCAGGGATTAATTTCCATCTCTTTTCTCTCTAGCCCCAAGAACCAGCAGCCCTGTTCCTCTCCCAGAGAGGTGGTTGCCATTGCTTGGAAGCTAAACCAGGTATTATTATGGCCTCACGTGAAACAGGAAAGCAAAGTTTAGGTCCCAAGGTAAAAGAATGTGACCAGAAATTAAAACCGTTAATTAAAGTTATCAATAAGAAAAATAAAGTCTATTTTTAATTGGGAAACAAAAACAAAGCTAAAAGGGATGTTAATTTCTGGTAGGCCTGCTTAAACTGTCAAGGCTTCCAGAGTTATGCTGAAGGTTTAGATTAAGCATTTAATGCTGATATACGGAATTATATGTCAACGTGCTCATTTATTAGAGTTTTACATTTAGGATTTACCCCAGGGCCTTTGCAGTAAACAAAGGGAAATACTGTTTGCTTTGAACCTTCATTAGTACAAGATCTGCTAGAGCTGTCAGCAAAAACAAGAGTTAATGGAGGGTCCAAGGAGCTTTAGTCAACTACCACATAAACATTTCAAGGATATGAAAACGTTAGTGAAATCTGTCTTTTCTCAGCCAATTAAGCATGTGAATGAAGTCTCACCACAAATACCAGGGAAGAAATCAGGTTTGACCAGTTCCTCAGATTCCAGGAACAGAGAAATCTGGATATAGGCAACTCTAACAAGCAGGTGACAGTGCTCTCATTTAAAGGGGAGCTAAACTTAACTAAACAAGGAATCAGTCAGGGTGCAGTGGGAGGTGGTGCTGCTCCAACCACATCAAACTGGGAAAACAGGAGCTCTTTCAGAGCCACCCCAACAGGTATCTGTGATCTCGGCAGTTGCTTGTTACAACTCTCCTGCCTGCCTGCAACTTGGAAAAAGATGAAGCGTTTAAAGGTCAAGAAACTGGAATGTAAATAAATTCTGGAGTGACCATTATGATGTTCCCCCATCTGTGGGCACACAGCAGGCTAACTTTTTTATGGGACAGCCATGCATCACCTCATTTCCAAAATCATAGTGACTTCTAGGGGATCTAACCCATTCTGTGTTACTTTACTTGGAAGCTGAAAGGAGGCAGGACAGCAGGGCTGTCAGCCATGCTCTCTATCTGTACAGCTCCTTGCAGCTCAGCATTTCAAACCCCTTTGGAACTATCCTCCCCTGAAAGAGGCAGGCGGGCAGAAAGGGACCTGCTCAGTGTTATACAGGGAGTGATGGTAGGGCTGAGAAACTAATTCATTCCTCAACCTCAGGCCTCCAGTCACACCCCAAAATCTGCTTTCTGCTGCAGAGCACTGGTGTACCTGTGACCTGAGGTGACATCAATTCAGTGCCTGCACAATGTGTGGGTGCTGGGATCAGTGTGAGCCTCCTGCACTGGGAGGAGCTGTCTGCCAGTCCCTCCACCCGTCCTGAGTTCTACCTGTCCCACCACAAGTCATAATGACTGGTTGTTTCCCATGCCAGAGGCTTGCTTCCTTCACAAACACCAGATGGATTGTCCTCATCCTCATAACTTTAATCCCACATCTTTCAACTTCAGGATCCCAGCCCTGGCAGTGGCTTTTAGACACGCCCTGATAAACCACCACGCGGTAACTGCTTTTGCTCACAAGTATCTTTGAATGTTTTCTTTGTATCATCCTCTTACACTAGGAACAAACTGCCAGAAATCCATCAGCTTTAGAATCCTTCCTTAAGACCTCTCCTTATGGTGATCTTATGGGACACTGCCACTAACAGCTGCCAAGCTAATACCAAGCTTAATTGCATTCTCATTTTCTCTCTGCAGCAAGGTGTATTTTGTTCCCCTACGATCCCACACACGTTTCTTCTCTTCATGTTTTGAGTTTTGCCATTAAGCTCCGTTTGCTCATTGAGTGGAAAACACAGCAAGTCATAACTATACTTGTGCTTTGCTAAGTTTAGTAGAAACTGTGTCCCACATGAAGTTGTGACTGTTCTTTGCCACGCCTAGGAATAACACACAGAAAGTGAGACTCCTACATATTGTTCCGTGTAAAATTCTTCCTAAAAAAAAATGGAAAACAGACCAGCAGGTTCTTCAGCAAAGAGCTGCAGGACCAGCACACAGAGGTGTTTCTGTGAAGAGCAGCTCCCCAGCTTTGCTGCCCAGCCGTGAAAGATGCTGGTACAAGGGCCTGAACTCACTGCCTGGAAGCTGCAATTTCTAGCAATGATGGGGGGAAAAAAATAAAAAAAAAAATCAGTGAGCTCTTCAGGACATCCATGTAGAGTGAGAAGGTACCTGGGAGAGGTCCTTCACACTAATCCCTCACAATAAGCTACTGGAATGCAGGAAACGTTCTCAAGAAGGGGAATGCAGGGGGGGTGAAAGTGGAAAGCCACAAAGATAAAAAGCACTTCAGTCACAATCCTGTGTTGTGGTCATACCTAAGCCCTGAGCAAGCCTGGATAAGGCCTGGATTAAGACTGGGCTTGTCACAGGGAACCAGTCTGCTGTGGCAAATGGCACTGGGAACTGAATGGTCTTTGGACTCTGTTAATGAGAGTGGATTTGCAAAAAGCAAACACCCTCTTGCATCCAAGGAAGTATAGGTGTGGTAGCAAGTGCTGTGGTTTTCTTTAAGCATGTAACTTCAATGAGAAAAAGGCTGCATTCCCAACAGTCTTTGTTCTTACCAAAAACTTGCAGCTGCTCTGTCCCTGATAGTAACTACCATATGGCTAAAAACAAATTCTCTATGTGGATGCACCCCAAGCTACTAATCTAAGACACAACAAGTGCCAGGAGGCACTTCTGTGTGCAAGCCATTGTTAACATCTAGGCTGTAAGAAATTGTACTGCTCTGTTCACAAGACCAAAAGAGCTGTTTCAAAGTAAAACTCAATTATCTCTAGCCTCTGTGCATCTGTTTATAAACAGTCTCTTATTACTACTGCTCCCTGTCCTCATGTAGCTGTGTCTGATAATAACATGGTTTCTGGAATCTATTGAGATGAAACAGAGAACAGAAGTCCCTATACAGAAAGTTGCTGTCAAATAGCAATTTCCTTTGGTTAGGAAAGTTGCTCTCACACCACCATTATTCTGTCCTGAAAGACCTTTTTAATGGAAGAGTTACCAAGTGCAATGCCAAGAAGAAGACATTCTTCACCTACCAGACGATCAGCAGAAAATACGAAGTCTCCTCTACTGGATTTCCTGAAAAAAGTAATAATTTATTTTTTAAATTGGGGAATAACTTTACAAACATTGATTAAATATAATATTAAGTCAAGGGCAATATATCCTAAGGCAGTTCAGAGAAAAATCTCCTACTGTATACAAAATTTATCCCAGAGATTCTGCATCATGGGTTTCCTGTTTGGTGGCAGGCACTGGGATGCAGTGAGTAAAACCCAGGGTTTGGCTCTTACTGCTGTTCTGTCCCAGTAGCAATTAAAGCATGAACACATAGGGATGATGTTCTGTAGGTTTTCCATTGTATTGCCATTCCAGCTCAGTTCCAAAATACCTCCCAGGCTCAGATGTGCACCAATCTGGTGCATTCCCTGCAGCCCTGAACAAGAAGAACTCCAGTTTAGAAATTGTGGACAATGACAGTGCAGATCCCAGCCCTGAGACTGACAACACACCGGATAAGCAGGGGACATACCCTATCTTATCTGGAACTCATTCAGAATGTGAACAGATCAGTGAACCTGAGATTAAAGTGAGCAGGGATTAACAAGCATTCCCATTAAAACACCTCTCTGCCTCTGATTAGCCTGGGTACAACCCTTTACTCATATGACTGTTTGGCTTTTGGCCCCTTCAGCAGGCAGAATGAAAGGTTAAAAGCCTGAAATTTAGAAGCAGATTTTAACACCTTGCCTCCCATGACAAGACCAACTCTCACTCCATGAGAGTAGGACATGTTTCCAATCAAGAGCTCAGGCTTGCAGGACACTCACCTTCAAAACACTCAGACCCAGCAGTCACATGGCAGACAGGCCCTTTGAAATGAACTGTTGTATTAATCACAGCAGGAAAACCCCTCTCTCACTGTCAAACTGTGATACTCTGCAGGTCTCCTTAACTCGGTAAAGAGAGTTCTGCATTTAATCCCCAAGGTTCTGTGACATCTCACATTAACATGAGTGAAAGGCAAGAGGTTTGTCTGCTCATTGCCTGGGAATTGGTCACTGAGCCATACTGAAAAAACAAGGTTTAAAAAGAGTGTCAGCCTAATCTATTTTCTTTGCTTGTACTAATAACACACTACTAAAAACACTGCTTTTATTTTTTTCCTTCTTTCTGGTAACAACAGAATATTCCTAACTTTTTGCCACTTTGACACTAATCAGGTAATACTCAAAAAGACCCCCAAAACTGCGGAAAACAACCCCAAACCCCTACAATTATAAGAACTACTTTTATTAAGATTTTTGATAGGATTCATATTTCCATCTATGGTATGTAAGTATTTTTTAAAAAAGGAATGTAGCAAAGTGGCACATCTAGGTTTTCCCAGACTATGGCATTTCAGAAAATCTACCCAAATCTCAAAAATGGGTGGCAAGACAAGTCTACCAAAAAGTGATATATATTTAGGGTGGATACTCTGAGTTATTAATACAGATTATTACAGGCTTTAAACTACCTACTCTGTCCTTGCAATGACACAGATGGTTTTATGCCCAGTTCACTGAACATCCTTATCATGCCTGGTTTTTGAGAGGGGGAGGACAACAGAAAACCACATTGCATAAAAATGAGAATAGTTACACTGAAAATGAAAGACCTTGTGCAGCTGTGGGCAGCTGCAAAGTCGGGACCACATTTCAAGACCCACATCCTACGAGCAGAAAAAAAGCCTTCTGTGAAAACACTATAACTGTTGCCCTGAAATACCAGACAGAAGTATAGAAAGTAACGATCCATGGCAGACTAGAAACTGTTTCAGCTTCTTGATCGAGTAACAAGACAGCATCCAAAAAGATGAGGCATTAAAACCCAACTTGAGGCAGGCAGCTAACAATGGGAGCTTTGTGGTAACAACATAAAGTCATTTCAGTTTGTTTCTGAAGGCCTGGGAGCAAGGCTGATGTACAGTTGCAGTCACCTGCCTGTCTTGAGAGAAGAAATGGGGTTTGGATTTGCAAGGTAACTGCAGGGTTTCTTCCTGCTTTAGCACTCGGTCCTTAGTTGCAAGCACGGACAGGGCTGCAGGCTTGGGGGCTTCTCTAACTCCAGTTTCTCACTGTGATGGTAAGGCTGGAAAAAAACCCCTTCTCTACACAGAATTTGTAAAAGGCCTTTTTAAGAAAACCGAAGGCACTGGACACATTGATGGCATTCAGGGAGATGATGTAGCTGAGAAACAGGTCCATGTTCTACCTGCAGTACTTCAGTACTTAACATCCTTCAGTATTTAATTTTTTCAGTGCCTGGGCTGGGGGTGGGATGTGAAAGGGATCCCACCCTCCCTGCTGCAGCAGTCAGCTTTACTCATCCCAGGTGAATTATACACTCCTGAATCATTCTGCTCTGTGCAGCAGCCAGGACTGTGTGTCCCACTGCTTTGCCATCTGCATTTCTGTGGTATCACTGTTCCCTAAGGAGTGGGAAGCCTTAGCAGAGAACAACAGAATGATCTCACCTAACAGACACAAGAACCTTTAAATATCTGGATTTAAATCATGTCTATTGTTAAATTAGGAGTTAAAATGACGCTACCAACCTGAACTAATGAGTTTGCTTCGACATAAACACATTGCTGAACAACTCGTTTCAGCTTCCAGATCCCTGGTTCTCATCTGTAAGGCTAGAAATCACTTTGAGATAATTCCCTCCTTGGGAAGAGGCTGTAACTGTTTGTTCCAGAACGTTCAATACTTAAATGCATCAGTTCACACCTCATTAGAGCACTCAGATTCATATCCAGCACACAGTGTAAAAGGTTAAGCATTCACTGGATGGAAAAGTGACAAGCCTGAGGAAAAATGAGCAAACCCAGGCAAGTTGAGGTGATCTACCCATTTCTCCAACTCCAGCACACAGACCAAGTTCTTGTTCATTTTAAGGAAGTAAAAGAAATACATGGTCATTTTAGTCTACCAGGCTAAATCATGGACCCAGGTGTCTCTGAACCCCACAGGACATGATGACCAGCCAAATGAAGGTTTTTCTTTAGCTGGCAATTCACAACCAGGGTACTTCTGAGGAAAAGTTTCTTTCACTACTTGGTTTAAATGCTACAGTGGCTACAGAGTTTTCTTAAGGCAGATTGCACCTGCCCAGGGAAAGGTTAATAAACAGTGCCCAAAAAGCCTCTCCCCTTCACAGCTAGGCATGTTCCAGCATTTTTCTGAATGACAGGGACTAAAATAAGCCAGTCTGAGGTCTCTTATTTAATGGGATGCAACTGAATTTCTGGAACAGAACACAAAAATAATGGTTCCCTATTGTCCTTACCTACAAAGTCTACACCTGCCTTTCTGAGTAGGCTGCTGTCCAGTTTTCCTCACTGGTTGGGAAGGGAGCTTGGAAGAGACAGTTACATCCCCACTGCCAGGGCAGAATAAAGTACAGTCTGCGACTGCTGTAGCTGCTCTGAGTAATTCATTATTTACAAGCCTTATTCTAGACTTCCTCTTACCAAAGTCTCATGCAATGAAGCTGATGCAACTCTAAGAAAATGTCTTCCAAGTTAAAATTGCAGCTGCTGGTTTCTGGATAAGCTCACTATAACCAGAAACCTATTAAATGGACTTGCAACAGTTCAAAATCTGCTTACAACAAAATAATAATAACTAAGTACAGTAACTACATTGTTAGTATTTGCCTATATGCTATTTCCTTTTCACTAACCTCAAAACCTTTTACAGGCCATCACCAAGCCTAGTCTGGATTTCCTCTCTTTCTCTTACAGTTTCCCTCTCTGCTTTGCAGGGAAGCTGCCAGGCCACCGTTCTCACCTGCAGAGATCTTCTGTGTGGTCTTGCCACAAGTGCCGTCCTTACACAAAGACTACCTGTGGGTGCTCCTGCCTGCCAGGAGATTATGCTTTTCCACAATACTTTGAAAATTAAGGGGAAAAAAAAGCCCAAACCCAACCAACCAAAAAACAAACAAACAAAACCAGACAAAAAATCCCAAACCACAACTAGTTTAAGGTAACAAAGCTCAGGTAAGCTAATAAAATTAATGGAGGTATTGTTTCTTTGAGAGAGTTTGGCATTAAAAACTGTATTACTGTTAGCTATAAAGTAAGCCTCAAGAAGCAGAAAATATCAAAACGTAGACTATGCAGATGGACAGATACAAAGCACAGGGACAAGCAGCGTCTGTGCAATGAGTTAGTTATTGCAGATGTCACAAAGCCAATGCATTGCAGGAAGAGGTTTTATTCAGAATCTGATCACTATTGATAAACTTGATTTCACACCTTTTTGCTGGTGGTTCTTGCATCAGAGGTGGTAAATTATGCTTTTAATAGACGGATGCTACTTATATTTGTCTTATATTGCATACTAAATTTAATACCTTACAATACCACCTTCCAAGTGCTGAACAATCAAAGCTACAGACATACCATGTGTTCACCACCCGAGATGTGCTGTGGAACACCGTGCTCACATCTCCCTACAGCCAGAGCCCGGGAACGGCTCCACGCCCCGTCCCGCGGGTAGGATACACAATATCCGGACAGCGGGAACGAGCCCAGCTCCTGTCGGGCCCGCCGGAGTGACCACTAAGGTACAGCCTCCTTCCTCCAGGGCTTACACTCCTTTGTACCGCACGCTCCGTGGGATGATGATGTGGCACGCGAGCCCCGAGCCGCCCACGGCGCAGAGATGAGCAAAAACCTCACATCAGGGAGGG